TAACCCTCTCTTGAGGGTCAAACGGTTATCAGACACTTACTCTTCGCACGTCAGTGGAAAGCACATTTCATGGTCCTTTCAATAAAGGTTATAACAAGAGCCGCAGAGCGGCTGAGCTCATCTGGGGTCTGTTGCTACGGTTATAAATCTTCAGTCGTGGCGTAGTCACCATTTGTTAGGCGCAGATATGCAGAATACGCAGTTGCGTACACATCATTGTTAGGACACGCTCACTACTCTCCCCCCATGCGATTTTTGGTTTATTTTATTAAATGATACTTGCCTTCACTTCGAATTTGTGTCATAGATTCACAGCATCTATTTTTATCTATCTATAAAAGATTTCAAATATGACAATGATCTCCAAGTTTAATTAGAGGGGGCGGGGAGTCCTTTTCTCCCACCTCTCTCCCCACTGCGTCCCACTCCCTCCCCCTGCCTCCCACTTCCTCCTCTTGCCTCTCATTCCCCCCTTACCTCCCATCTCCCTCCCCTACCTTCGACCTCCCTCCCCCTGCCTCCACCTCCATCCCCTTGCACAACATCTCGCACGACCTAATTGTACCCCGTTTCCCGCTCGCCATACACACCGTATCACCGTTTTCCTGTCCCCGTCTCAATTTACTACTCTCTCTCTCTTTATTCTTAGACTTTCTCTCTCTCTCTTAATTATATTAAAAAAATTTAAAAACCCAGCGATGATGCCTTTTACTGCCCCCTTCAATAATGCTTTCTTCCTATGCCCCTGAGTGTTAACAGTCATAGAAATCATAATATATTGTGTCTCTAATATTCTATCGAGTAACAGCTTTATGTTCGCACAACTGGTAAATGCGATAAGCGCACGCATAGCTACATGATATATGTTTAGATTCAAGATTAAAAAGTAAATGATTTAACTATTTAATAATTGGTACTAGTTATTATTTATCGTTTTAACAAAGTTACATGAGAATAAAATCTAATTTAAAACTAGCTATAGTTGCCGACGAGATGCCGCGTGCAAGTGTAATCAATAATCAACATGGCATCGTTCCTGAAATCGTACAGTAGGTACAGGCTAAAATCCCAAGTAATATATTTCAGGCAGATTCTCAGCTGTGAGTTAAACAGTGCATTGCAGGTTGGCAGGCAACAATTATGATAAGAGCGTGCCAGCATGGCTGCTGACTCTGTTTTTGCTCGTGAGCATTCACTGATTCATCATTCAGCCTTCAGGCCTAATGGCAGGGTTGCTATTAGCAGATGTTTAGGATGAAATCATATGTATTTAAGGAGCTAAACTTGTTCAACAAATTTGCCTTTCGCAATTTAAACGTGCATACTGTAGCCTCAATGACACAGGTATTAGGGCTCTAATATATAGCAAAAGCCAGTTCGAGGTCCTTTGTTGACAGTGAACAAATCCCTGTTTAAACCTCCTCTGAGGGTCAAAGGTATCCGACCTTCACTCTTTCGCATTGTCAGCAGAAGGGAAATTTTCATGGTCCTTTCAATAAAGCCATAAAATCGTAGTCACCGCCTGAAACAAAAAGTAGTTTTTCATCGCTTCGTCAGACATGTCTCAGAAACTGTCTAAAATTTGCCCTTGCCACTTGCACCTTTGACCTGTGACTCCAATTTCGGCACAGTGCATGGCTTTTCTACCATGATGCTCTACACCGACTATCCGAGCTAGGTCAAGCGACTTTAGATTTGTGCCCGCAATTCTGCATTTCCTCCCTATACCTTAGTTAAGGAGGTGAATGTTCCCCCTTCCTTTTACACTCTGCGACCTTTTGACCTTTGACCCCCAGGCTTCGACATCCCAACTCGCTTTTTGACGTCCCCCAATGTGCGGAATACGCTGACCGTACGCGAGGTTAAGATTTGTGCAACTGTTGACGGACGGAACGGACGGACGGAACGGACGGCACCAGACGGGCGGCGGACGCGACGGAACGATCTGCCATTAGCGATTCTACAAGCCTGACATCTGGACTTGTCAGATGAGCTAAAATGGTAGGTCAGCTCTGAAACAAAAAAGTTTTCACTCTGTCATTAGGCCACGTCCTCACAAAATGTCTGATATCTGAACCTTTCCCCCACTGCCCTTTTGACCGTGACCTCCAATTTCGACTGGTGATGAGTTTCCTGCCCATCACACTATTACACCGAATATTATAGAGCATAGGGTGAGCGTTCAGATTTGTGCCGCAATTCCGTATTCCTCCTATTACCTTAAGTTAAGGGGAGGCGAAATATTCCCCCTCCGTTTACACATCTTGACCTTTGACCCTTGACCCCCAAATTTGTCATCCCGAGTCTCTTTTCACCGATCCCCCCGATGTCCCAATATCCGTGACCGTACGTCGAGCAGTTAAGATTTGTGCCAAACTGTTGACGCACGCACGCACGGCCGAACGGCCGGACAGACGCACGGACAATCATGCGATTCTACAAGCTGCATCTGACTACGTCAGACGAAGCTAAAAAAAACCAGCATCTATCAAGCTTTGCTTCTACACAGCATTTTGGAAAACAAATGTTTGATCAGTCTGTCGATCACCTCTTTAAAATTAAGGTGCATATGGTCTCATTTAGAAGCAAAGACTAGTTTATATTTCATCAAGTAGATTCAGTTCTTTCAAGCCACACTAGCATTCCTTACCTGTCACAGTGACCTCCACATCCTCGCTTACAGGATCATCATTGGTTGTCTCACAATCGTAGGTTCCTTCGTCTGAATTCCTGATATTAGTAACTGTTAGTGTAAATATGTCCTCATCTCCATCAGTGTCCATCTCTGTGCTGAATCTTCTATCACTGATGATCCTGTCCTCACCGCGGGTCAGTACTTCAATGTTCCTGCCATCCACTAGCTGCCACTCAACCTGAAAGGAGTTAAGATTATTATAGCGTTGGAAGGTGACTAACAAACAATGCAACTCAGAACATTGCGACAGTGATACAATGAATATAAGCTTTACATAAAAACATGTTTGTGTCTACTATCCGACAGGTAAGTAGACTATTACACTTACAGTTGAAGAGGTAAGGCCCGTGACAAAACAATCCAGGACCAAATCGTTGCCACTTCTGACGGTTGTGTCAGAACTGATCTCCACAATCTCAGGATCTTCTCCACCTCCAGACCCTGAAGCAGAAGATCGTTAATAAATTATATATAAATGATAAACGTTGTAAAGTATGGTTTGCAGATGGTATTAAGAATAGTAGTTGTGTTTAGAATATGTCGGAAAGGGTTGCAATTATGTGTTTGGTCGGCGAAGCTGTGTTTGTTTGCATATGGATGATGGAGCGCATGCGAACGGCTTTGAGAGGGTAGTTTTGTACATGTGTGGCAGCCTGTCGGTTGTTCGTGGGCGCGCGCGCGTCTTTGTTATCTAGAAATGTATAAAGGAGAGGTTCTTGGTTTGTGAGAGAGATCGCGACGGGAGGTGCGACGCGCACGCATGTCTGCGTGCTCTCTGTGCTGAGCGTATGTGGTGGGGGAGAAACAATAATAGTTGTGCCTGAAACTACTGCTTGGAGTTTGGGTTTCAATATTCATCGCTACAACCGATCTACATTGATAACGGCAACGTCATCTTCGTGCGTTACATTTGGCGCTCCGTCGACAGTTAGAACGGGATGTTTGCGGAATAAGCAAGATGCTTACAAACGATTCCGAGCCACGGCACGGAAGAACTGGGAGAAGAAGAAGAAGATTGTGGAGATTAAAAGGAGGATGCGAGACGACTGGAGAGCAAGAGAGACAGAAGAGAGAGAGAGGGAGAGACGGAGGAAGGAAGCCAATGCGAGACGCGGAAGGCGACAGAGCAACGGGAAGCGCGACGAGTAAGACTGGAAGAGAAGAGGGAAGATACTATAGTGCGTTCGGACCATGTGATTGCAATTTTCCTATCGTATACATTTCGCTGTGCTCCGCGTGTTTACTGTTCGACCCTGCATGGCTAGTATTATGACGATATTGCCTGTGCGGACGCGTTTTGTGCCAAATAGAGCTTATTATAGGGTGCATAGGTATAAAGGGGTTACAGGGCTGAGATAGATAGCTGTGCACGGTGTAATAAAGGGCGAAGAGGACCTTACAGGTACGTATCATGCGTTCATGGTTTAACGCATGCGAACGAGGTTTAGAGAGTACGCGGGCTTAAAGTTATGTCATTGTAAGACAATACGGCGTATACGACGGTCCGATGAAGAGGATACGGGGATTTTTTACAGATATACGCTGGGAATCCTCCACGATAAGTTCAAGGGAACACGGCTAATCGGCATACCCTAGAAGTGCTAAGCACCCTATGATACTGTTACTGTAATGTACCGTTAAATAGAAGGCCAGTAGATAGAAACGTATGATATAATATTAGTTACGCACAGTGTGTATATGTGATATATATGCGAGGTGCTGGGCGACGGGTAATGGCAGACCACAGATGATATTGGTTTGGGAAAGGTGTGACGCTGAATACAGGAGAGTATTAGTTCCTACTCTAGTATACTATATAATATATATATAATGCTAATGCGGAAACGGAAATGCTGTTAAAATGGTATGTGAATCAACTCTTGTGTCGGCATTTCTTCGTATTAAAGTGAAAACGTTATTATAACGTTAATTACTCGAAGGTTTTTCCTGTATACACCATGCAAGCATGAACATACGTTTTTTTTATTCCTGATTACCTGTATTAGTTTCAAAGGTGCATGTTATTGTTAAATTTGACGATGCGGTTTTGGAATTAATAGTAAACAAATCAATTTTTTACTGAGATCTCGTGCGAGCGGAATAAACAACTTTTGTGATTAAAGGAAGGAAGACAGATTAACAGAAATTTCGTTCGTTTTTAGTGGCTCTGACGTATTGAAACACATCTGCCACTCAAACTCTAACAACACTCAACCTTGGTCTGCTACCCATGATAACATGCCCATAGCCTGGACCCTGCTGCCTCATGTAATGTTGACGAAAACTAAGATGTAAGATATAGGCCAATAGCTCTAGTGCTCTATAACAATAACAATAATAACATCGAGCAATTGACTATCCACTTTTCACTGCACAGTTAGATTAGTTTCTTTCCCATTTCAGACGCATTAATTTATTTAACTGACATCTGTAATAGTATGGAACATATAGACCTTACTGTGCTATGTATAGTTTATGAGGTTGTTTACTGTATGAAACCATGACAATCGTATTTATGAAGTTCGGATTATTTTCTCTTGATTGTATATTTGCAATGCGGCTTACCGTAAACCGTTTCTTATCTATTTTATGTAAAAGGCTAAACAGATTATTATAGCCTGGAGTTTCCGTCCAGTGTACTGGTGTGGGTATATGCTTAAGCAGCATGCGTACCATGGCTCGTTGGTTATGAATTTTGTGTCTGGCGAATTATTGCTGTCTACTATCTTAGAACCCCATACATCGATCTCCACCATCACAATATAGCTTCTGATTACTGTTTTGACTAGGCATACTATAAGCTATGCAGGCTTGAAATAAGAAGATATCTAAAGCTGAGGTTAAGGCGCCTAGACGGGCCTTCCGCGGTGTTGCAATACATCAAGCTGGCCGCGTTACGAAAATCGAACGTTGCTAGTTGCGATTCTATCAACTACACTGCTATTTTTAGTAACTTTTTCAGTACAGATTTCGCCTGGGCGAGGCGCTGTATGAACTGATCGACCCCTGTTGCAAGCGCAGATATCGTTCGGCCAGGGCCCTGGACCGGGCCTACCTTAACAAGGTGCGTGGAAAATAAAATTGTTGTGAAACTTCGCGGGGGAAGAGGGCAGTGATCGATTCATCCAAGCTAATGATTTTATTCTAGAAAATTTGTCGAGTCGTTTCAATTGACCACTCTTTGTGTTTATGTTGGGCTAGTACCAAGCTTTTGACTCTTGATCCACGTTTCCACATATATTTGTTAGCGCACCGGTGGACATCATTCTTTCAATCGGTTTTGATATAGGCCTAAAACATGGATCGATCATCGACGAATTATGAAATCACTTTTGCGTATTTTTGTTGGTGGTTGGGCGGGTGGCTGTGTACGACTTGTGTCACTATGTTGGGTAGTAAGAATACTACTAATGTGGTGGTAGATTCAGTTCTTTCAATTAAGCCACACTAGCATTCCTTACCTGTCACAGTGACCTCCACATCCTCGCTTACAGGATCATCATTGGTTGTCTCACATCTGTAGGTTCCTTCGTCTGAATTCCTGATATTAGTAACTGTTAGTGTAAATATGTCCTCATCTCCATCAGTGTCCATCTCTGTGCTGAATCTTCTATCACTGATGATCCTGTCCTCACCGCGGGTCAGTACTTCAATGTTCCTGCCATCCACTAGCTGCCACTCAACCTGAAAGGAGTTAAGGTTATTATAGCGTTAGAAGGTGACTAACAAACAATGCAACTCAGAACATAGCGACAGTGATACAATGAATATAAACTTTACATAAAAACATGTTTGTGTCTACTATCCGACAGGTAAGTAGACTATTACACTTACAGTTGAAGAGGTAAGGCCCGTGACAAAACATTCCAGGACCAAATCGTTGCCAGTTCCGACGGTTGTGTCAGAAGTGATCTCCCCAATCTCAGGATCTTCTCCACCTCCAGACCCTGAAGCAGAAGACCGTTAATAAATATATAAATGATAAACGTTTATAGCTTAATTGTTTAAGAATACTTGAAAAATCAATGAACACTCAATCCTAGCACGTAACTACTCAACTAAGGAATTAACTTGTTCACCATCGACCATTATTTGCAACTAAAATAGTAATAGCTAAACGCCCGGTGCGCATAGGCATTACCTGTGCTGATATGAGTAAAAATAACCCGTGTTATCTGTCTACATAAGGAGAAAACTACAGCTAGGGTTTTAAGCCTGAGTTACTAGAAGCCAGGTTATTTGGGACTACCATCTTCAGTTGGGTGTGAATCCGGGACAGTAGAGAATAATGGTGGTCAATGCAACAAAAACAAAACACTGCACTGGTAAATACAGTGTTTACACACAAACCTATAGGTTTACAAACATCCTTTTACGTGTTTAAGAAAATAACCAGAGGTTTTAAAAAGTCATCCTAGAAAAACCCAGCATTGATCAAACTTAATTTGCCGCTACACAGCATTTTGGAAAACAAATGTTTGATCCGTCTGTCACCTCTTCAAAAGGTGGTCTCATTTAGAAGCAAAGACTAGTTTATATTTCATCAAGTAGATGCAGTTCTTTCGAGCCAGACTAGCATTCCTTACCTGTCACAGTGACCTCTACATCCTCGCTTACAGGATCATCATTGGTTGTCTCACATCGGTAGGTTCCTTCGTCTGAATTTCTGATATTAGTAACTGTTAGTGTAAATATATCCTCATCTCCATCAGTGTCCATCTCTGTGCTGAATCTTCTATCACTGATGATTCTGTCTTCGCCGCGGGTCAGTACTTCAACGTCACTCCCATCCACTAGCTGCCACTCAATCTGAAAGGACTTAAGATTATTAGCGTTGGAAGGTGACTAACAAACAATGCAACTCAGAACATTGCGACAGTGAGTAGTTATACAATGAATATAAACTTTACATAAAAACATGTTTGTGTCTACTATCCGACAGGTAAGTAGACTATTACACTTACAGTTGAAGAGGTAAGGCCCGTGACAAAACATTCCAGGACCAAATCGTTGCCAGTTCTGACGGTTGTGTCAGAAGTGATCTCCACAATCTCAGGATCTTCTCCACCTCCAGACCCTGAAGCAGAAGACCGTTAATAAATATATAAATAATAAACGTTTAGTTTGTTTAAGAACCCTTGAAAAATCAATGAACACCCAATTCTAGCACGTAATTCAACTCAACTAAGGAATGAACTTGTTGACTATTATTTGCAACTAAAATAGTATTAGTAATGCTGAGAGGGTCTATGTCCCCCGGGGTACTGCCGGAACGTACCCTGGGTACGGTCCGGTATACCGGAACGTACCCTGGTACTATCTAATATGCCGGACCGTACCTCGCCTACTCCACTAACGAGTCTAGGGAGTCGCCTACGCCTGCTCCCTAACCCGAACCCTAACCCTAACACTAACCCTAACCCTAACCCTAATCCTAACCCTAACCCTAACCATATCAAATAGTGACCAGGGTACGCTCCGGTATACCGGACCGTACTAAGTCAAAATTTAATTTTTTAAACTTAATTTAAG